TCCTTCCTTTCCTTCCTTTCTTCACTCCCTTTCTCTTTTCTCCTTCCTTCCTTTACTCCTTCCCATTCTCTCTCTTTTTCTCCCTTCCTTCCTTCCATTCTTTCCTTCCTTTCCTCCCTCTTTCTCTTTTCTCCTTCCTCCCTTCCTTTACTCCCATTCTTGTTTTCTCCTTCCTTCCCTCCCTTTTTTTCCTTCATTTCCTTCCTTCCCTTTTTTCTTTCCTTCCTTCCTTCTCTTTTCCTTCCATCCTCCCTCTTTCACTTTTTCTCCTTCCTTCCCTTTTCCTTCCTCTCTTTACTCCCACCCATTCTCTCGCTTTTCCTTCCTCCCCTCCTTCCCCCCCCTTTCTCTCACCCTTCCTTGTCTTTCTTTTCCTTCCTTCCTTCCTTCCTTCCCTGCCCAAATGAGGAGGGGGAGGGATTCTTCAAGAGACCCAAGCCAGCTGGAGCAACCAGGCTGCGGCCCCTTCTCCTCCGAGGCAACCCCGCCCCCGAAGGCAGAAGCCCCCAACCACAGCCGCCAGCTTCTTCTCTCTTGTTTTGCGTGCACGGAGTTCAAACGTACGGGCCGTTTGCACGCAAAACAGTCTCCTCCAGTGGTCATCTCCGCAAATCAGCTGTGAGCCGCCCCCCTTCTCCCCGGTCCCGGTGTGGGTGGGTGAGTGGGTGGGAGGTCCCATACGAGAAGCGCTTGGGAGTGGGGGGAGCCTTCCCTTTGCGAGTCCCAGACGGGGAAGAAAAAAGGGGAGTGGGATTTTCCTTCCTTCCTTCCCTTCCTCCCTCTCTCCAAAGCCGTGCGGCTCCGAGCCTTCTGCAAGCCGCCTAAACGGGGAAGCGATGGGGATGTGTGTGAGACGGACCAAAGCGACTTTCCTTTTTCCACCCCCCCCACCCGCTCCCCACATTCCCCCCCGCCGCTCAAAGAGGGGAGGGGGCGACAGGCAAGAAGAGAGAAGGGGGTCTTTTTCGGCTCCTTAAAAGCTGACACCCCTCCCCCCAAGCAATGTGGAAGCGGGCTGTGGGTCGTTCTTGGGTTGGGGGATCCGAATTAAGGGGAAGGGGCAAGCCGAGCAACAGCGCCGCCCCCACGACCGGAGGAAGAGGAGGAGGAAGAAGCTTGGTGTGTGTGTGTATACAAAGGCGGGGTTGCAAGGGGGAGTGGGGGAGAGAGACCCGGGCCCACTCGGCCTACCTGCGCGGGGGTCCCTCCGGCCATGGCTCTCATTTATTTTTATTTTTTATCCCCACCCACCCACTCTTTCCGCGGGCGAGGATGAAGGAGCAAGCGTGGCTATTGCCGGGGTTTCGCCGCTGCTGGCTTTGCTCTTTTGTTAGCCTTTGCAAGATTTACACTCCGTTGGAAAAGGAGGAGGAGGAGGAGGAGGTGGTGACAAAACAGCTGCACGCCGGGAAGTGTAGTTTTCTTGTTTGTGTTTTCCACGCCCCGCCCGAAGCAGGAGGGCGGGGCCAACCCGGACCCACGACCCTCCCCCCGTTTGCAAAGCCAGCTCCCTCCCCTTTCGTCCCGCCCCCGCGCCTAGCGTAGCCTTCCAGCCATCCGCGCTGTTGCAAGACCCCAGCCGTTGCAAGGAAGGGGCGGGGGAGAGTCGAGAAAGCCGCCCCCCCCTCCCCCCACCAAAAGGCGGATGGAGCGCAGCCCGGGTGCGCAAAACCCGAAGAAGCGGGTTTAAAGGAAAGGCGGGCCCTTTCTCTCCACACAACCCTTTTCCAAAAAAAGGGGGGGAGGGGTTTTACAGCTGGATGACGACCCCCTCCCTCTTCCCAAGAGCCCACCCACCTTGGAGAGGGGAGGGGGCGTTTATAGATACTACAGGTCTAGCCACTCGCCTTTCCCCGTGGGAAAATGGGAAGTTCCCACAAACTTTTTTTGGCTGGCTTCAAAAAAAAAACCCCTCCCTTCCCCCAAGCCCCCCTCAACTTCCAGATCTTTGGGGTCGGGGGTCTCTGGTCCAAAGGGGGGGAATTGTTTCTGAACCTTGGGGCCCCCACCCCTCTTGTGAGACCCCTCCCACTCCCCAGGCAGCCTGAGCCTGCTTGCTTCTTCTAAAACTCTAAATTGGGGAAGTGGGAGGGAGGGGAGAAAGAGAAGGCTATGAATTCCTGCTGAATTGAAGAGACAATCGAGTTGGAAGGCATCCTGGAGGTCATTGAGTCCAACCCCCCTCCTCCAGTGGGAGACCATGTACCATTCAGAATAAGAGAATAACAGGGTTGCAAAGGGGCTTGAGAGGTCTTCTAGTCCAACCCCCTGCTCAAGCAGACCCTTACAGAATTATAGAATAAGAGACTTAGAAGGGTCCTTGGAGATCTTCTACTCCAACCCCCAGCTCAAGCAACAGACACTAGACCATTCAGAATAACAGAACCACAGTTTAAAGAGACTTTGGAGGTCTTCTAGTCCACCCCTGTTCAAGCAGGAGACCCTTACAGAATCATAGAATAAGAGTGGGAAGGGACCTCAGAGGTCATCTAGTCCAACCCCCTGCTCAAGTGGAAGACTCTCTTACGAGAGTAAGAGAACAGGGCTGCAAGGGGCCTTGGAGGTCCTCTAGTCCAACCCCATACTCAATTGGATCCTTGCAGAGCCATCAAATAACCGGAGTTTGAATGGGACCTTGGAGGTTGTCTAGTCCCACCCTTGCTCAAACCAGAGAGCCTACACCACTTCAGAGTTCAGAGAGAATTGGAAGGGACCTTGAAGGTCATCTAGGCCAACTCCCTGCTCGAGCTGGAGGCCCTCTTACCATTCCAGGCCAAGCGTCTATCCGGTCTCTTCTTCAAAGCCTTCAGTGATGGAGCACTCCCAACTTCCAGTGGCAAGCAGTTCCATCATCCTCGCCATTCAGAAGTTTCCTCCTTCGTTCCAGCTTGCTTCTCTCCTCAGCGAGTTTCCATCCGGTGCTTCTCATCTTTGCCTTCCGGTGTTTTGTGAAAACAAATGGAAACCCACCCCCTCTTCTTATACCGGATTCTTTCTATTGTCCTTCAATATTGGATTCTTTCTATTGCCCTTCTTTTCATTCAATGGGACATATCCGAATCCACCGTTGTGGTTTTTTGGGGGGTACGTTTTCATCTTCAGACTCGTTGGCCCCATCGCTGCTCTTCTCTGCAAGTTCCCCCCCAAATGTGGGATGATCTTGACATGCTTTGGGCAGGCAATCCAGCTTTCCTTGTTGTTGGGCAATTCAAACCAGGGTTAACAACCAATTTGGTGAGTGCGCGTGTGCATGCGCTCTATGCGTCAATATAATCCTTTGGTCTTTTTTTGGGGGGGGGGAAGCAGTGCATTCCTTAAAGGCTTCAGATAATTGCTAGGCGGCTGAAACTGTTGGCGCGCAAGACTATTACCAGAGAGCATGATGGATGACTCTTAGCTATGGATGTGTCCCATTGGAGAATATACATCCAGGGGGTGGGGGAAAATTTGTGAATTTTGTTGGATGTATGCTGTGTATATACATACAATAACAAGAAAAAAAGAATAAAAAAACAGGTTCAAGGGTGAAATGATGTGCCTTAGAGTTGGCTGCACCCAGGTTGTTGGGTATATGGATACACCAACCAGGTTTGGGTTGAATAAATATGTAAACCTAGGATTAAGTGTCTATGTAGCTTTAAGCAAGAAACTGCAATGTCATTGTGGGTGCGGTTGCAGGCAGTAATAAAGGTAGGAAGGGAAACGTAATAGCCCCGGCTTCTGGATGCACCTGGTTCTGTTCCTGGTCTGCTGCCTACTGTTTTGGAACGTCTGCTTGCTTTTGGAGGCTACTGTGCCAGATACCATTTCAACTGAACACAAGGACTGTTTGCTTGGTGAGCTGAGGATTCAGCGTTGTCTTTGAGAGAAAGGTATCGGGAGGAGAAGATTTACAAGCAGATAAGAACATTGTATTGACTGTTAATGGACTTGATAATTGGATGGATATACTGGATAATGATATATGGACTGAATGACACTTCTTAACCTCTGTGTGCAATAAATAACTATTTTAAAACCACAAACAGTGTTTTTGTCTCCAGTGTGTGTATACTCTTGGGCCCACTCTCTCTCTCATTTGCCTGCCTGGCTTGACTGCTGCTGCATACTCTGCTTGGGGGTTTATCCCCAAACACTAACACAGGTTAATACCGATGTGGCCACTCCTAATAAATGAAAAAATAAACTCTTTAAGACTTGTGATTGGAATGGGGGGGTGGATTGTTGGAGCCCTACATTTTAAGCTCTTTTTAAACCTAGTTACTTACCTTCTACTGCAGCCCCCCCCCCATTCAAACAGCTGAGGTGCTGAAAACCACACTGCCACGCAAATCAGCCGTGCTAAAAAAAAAAAAAAAAAAAACTTAGGAAATAAAAGCACAGGAAAGAGCAGGGGTGGGGCCAAGTGCTTATCAGAAGAACTGGTTCACATGAACCAGTTGAATCCCACCCACCCGTCTTTTGCACTTACACCCTACGAACATACATCCCCACAACTGTAAGAAAGCCTTTATTGCAAATAAACATAGCTCAAGAAAATAATAGACATCATAATTATTGTCATAACACATCTAGAATAGGCCGTTGGGGTTAATGGGGGGAATGAAGTGGCCGGCGTGGTGTCTTTCAGAGGCTGCTCGTGGAAGTGGGTGCAAGCACAGGCGGATGGGATGTAATGGAGTTTCCTGGGTTCAAAGGTGTGGCATGGAGTTGGTGGGAGGGACAACAGTCTCTTCCGTCTAGTGTCGGGCCTGACTGCCATCTCCAATCGGCATTTGCTGGGCCCCCAGACCCTCTCAGCAAAAAAAGAAAAAGTCAGTCACAGGAGGAAGCAGGTGGGTGAGTGAGGGAAGACCACCCCTGTTGATCCCCAATTCTTGCAATTCTTCCTGAACACCGAGCAATCTCAATATGCTGAGGAACTCCAGCATGAACGAACGATGTAGGCAACGATGGGCATTGTGCATTTCTCAAAAGGCGACGTGGTGGGGAGAACTGCCATGCACAGGTGGGGGACCCCCTCCCAAATGTTGGGAAGAAAAGTGGGATGGGGCAACAGAGAGGGCAAGCCCCTGCATGCTCAGAGGCGCAAGCAATTGACTGGCTGCTCTGGACAAGGGGAGCAAAGATGTCCTTTGTTCCATTGACCCAACAGCTCTGGGCACGGAGTGGGGAGATTTCTGACTGCTCAACCTTTGACACCCCCCCCCACCAATCCTGCCAGACTCATCCCACTCACAAGGATCGAGGGGGAGGTCCCACCATCCAGAGCGTTTGCCGCCTCTGCAAGGCATCACTTCCTCTCCTCACCCTGAAGGAATGGGGTGCCTGCAGATGACCTCATGGCTCCCTCATTCCGAACATGGTTTTGTTACACATCCTGAAGCCCGCCAACCTAAGCTGGCAAAAAATCCCTTTGGACCCACTTTTATTTTGGGGTGGGTGGGTGGGTGGGCAGACAGCCACGGTTGTTTTAGCTGGCCATGGTTAAGAGGGCAGGTGGCTTCCGCGGATGCGAAGCAGCTCCAAAAAGGTGCAAATCGGCAACACGGGAAGGAAAGGGGCTCTGGGAACTCAGGATGCCCCCCCCTTCAAACATTGCTTCCATCTCACCCACCCTGTCCCCCATATATTGGGGCAGTGTTGGTTAACCTTTTTGGGCTCCTATGCCAAAAACTGCCCAAGCGCTTATGCACTCGTTTCACCAAGAAGGCAATACACACACAACCCCACCCCCCACCCCCTTACATACACTGCATCTCACAGCTGATTTTTCAGCTGGTTTGAGGCCTTTTTCAGCCTCTCAAAGGCTTGAAAAAAGCCTCTGCAGGCCAAATTGGCCCATTTTGTCACACGAGCCTATTATTCATCCTGCAAAGCCTGCAGAGGCTTTTTTCAAGCCTCTGGGAGGCCGAAAAAGGTTTCAAACCAGCTGAAAAATCAGCTGTGAGGCATGCACCATGAGCTAAGTTTGCCTGCAGCTCACGTGCTGGCACAAATGGCTGTGTACCACCTGTGGCACACATGCCACAGGGTCACCATCATGGTATTGGGGGATAAGTAACCAAATTTCCAGGAGTTCCCCAACAGGATTGCTGGATTTTACTGCCATTTCCTGCATCTTTGCAGGGAGGCCAATTTTGATCCAAACAAAAAATTGCAGAGTCTTCCCAGACCCCACCAGCAGCCCAAAAATTTACAACCTCTCAGGTTGTTTCACCTTTTCAACCTGCCTTGGCTTGGCACACCAGGAGGAACATTACCAAAAAGCCTTCAGGAGGGAAGAACCACGCCTGCCTTCGGCAAGCAATGTCATATGATCCCTGCCATTGTCGCCCATACACAACCACATGCAGCCAAAAATGATGACAAAGGGGTTACAAAACCACATCGCGCCTGGCTAAAGCAGGAAGGGGTGCTGTACCTGGCCTCCTGGCACCTTGGGGAATAAAGGGGAGTGGACAGCTGGTTCTCTCTCTAGGGCAGCAGCTACCAAGGTTTGGGCACCATGGAGCAGTTCCATGTAGGAAAGTTTTTCCACAGACCAGAGGAATGTGGTTTTGTGGGCTTACTGCATCCCACACGTATGCAGATGGATTGTTTGCATGGACCGGTTCCCAGCAGGCTACAAATCGGGTGTCGGTACATGGACTGGGATTGGGGAGCCCTGCTTTAAGCCTCAACTTCTGGGCCAGCTACAGAGTTCAAACATTTCCCAACTTTTGTCACTCGCCCCTCTTGTCCTTCAACGCTGAGAGAACATAAACTTGAGGACAGAATTTGGAGGCTGTCCCTGCAGCTGGCAGGGGCAGGGCTGCCCCCCTTTTCTGGCTTTATTGGGCCCAGCCAATGGCCAAAAAGCCAGCTACATGTCCCGAGCGCAGCAACTCAACAAACAGCTCTTCCAAAAAGCAGGGACCATCCTTGGGCACAAATTCCAGAGGAAGAAGCTTCTAGGCCTCTCGAGCCCTAGGACGACTACCACTGGCCTTGCTTCAGGGGCTGCCTCTGTACTGGCCAAACTATCCATACAAGAGCAGACAGTACTGCCTTAAACTGGGGAAATGAGGAGCAAATTGCCCCCAGCTCTGGCCGACTTGACTTTAAACAAAAGTTAGACCACAATTCTTTCACTCCTGTTTTCTTTTTTGGAGGGGTGGGGTGAGCTCATCTGTTCCTCTGTGATGGGCCAAGCTCTCAACATGCCTCCAAAGTGGCATGGCTGAATTTCACCAGCTTAAAAAAAGGGGGGGATGGTTTCCACCCAACACCCAGGTGGTTTTATCTCGGGGTTAGGACTTAGTTAGAATGTACCCCTCAAAGCACGCTGGGAAACAGCCAAGGAAGGAGACTAATAGTTGGAGGGCTGGATTCTTCAACAGCTGCTGGTGGGAGGCACCCTCCATTGACCGGGCTGCAGACTACGGGCAACCTGCTTGTGCCAATCAAATTTCCCGACAACCCACCACCCCGCATCCGACCCATGCACGGTTTGTGTGCCTCTTCATGGATCCGCACCCCAGCGACAGGTTCTTGCACACCGTTTGTGCGCTCAACACACCCATCGGTGTTGAGACCTCTGCCCCGTTGCCCAGATACAATTCGTGCCACCTCTGGGCCCCCGAAATCAGCCTAGCTCAATGGGTGTCAGATGCCCAGAGGAGCTGCGATAGGGGAGGGGGAGCTGAGTCATCCTACCACCCCTGCTTTTCATCCTTTGCAGACTTCAGCAGGAGAGGAGGCCATCAACCATTCCTCCTTCCACCCTGTCCTAAGCCTGGACCCTCAACGTGCTTGCCTTGGAACGTTTGACCGTCTTTGCTCCGGGAAGGCTTTTCAGCTTAAGGCACAGACCCACCCACCCACCCCCACCACCCCCAAATTCAGTTTTCTCCCTTCCAGCAGCTCTGTCAGGGCTTGGTCCCATGCAGGAGGGGAGGGGAGCCAAATCCAGGGGCTGACAGGCCATCGGGTCGTTCTAAAGTGCTTCTTGTTCATTCTGGGGCCTCCTCTCTCCTTCTGCAAGGACCCCACCCCACCCATCTCCCAGCCCCACCGCAATCCAACTTCTTTGGTGTCAGTCCCCTGAAAGCATCAGACCATTGTAGTCACAGCTGTTGGGAAAAGAGGCGGGCTTTGTGGGGAGTGGGAGAGGAATAAATGTGGCTTTTCTGACCTGGGGGCTGATTATACTTCTCAGAGCTGAATGCCAGGCAGGGTCCCCTCCCCAATGTCTTCCAATACAAATCCCTCCCCGCTCCCCTAAAAGTTCTGCATCACTGCAATGGACCTGTACGAGGAGCCGACCAACCTGCTCAGATTGGCACGAAGCCGGACCTCCCCTGGCCGGCAAAGAGTTCAGCCACCTGGTTCGCATTGCCATGGTGGTGCGATGCCAACAGTACATTTCTGGAATGAGTTCTTTCAATTTTTTTTCCTTTCATAGGAAAACACGAGGTGGGGAATGCAAAGCCCTGAGGGCCAGCGCACTGTGCGGGGATGTGGTGAGAGCCATGTATGAGGCACTGCCCCCCCCCCACCCAACCGGGGTTTATTGAAGGGTGCCGCCCTCAGTCAAGTTTCCAAAAAAAAGGGGGGGGTGCTCTTCCATCTTCAACGTTTGGACTGCTGCCAAGTTCTGAGTCTTTCCTTCCGTCGTTTGGGAGTAGATGAGGGGCGTCCAGGGAGATTTGGGGGAAGGGGGGGCTTGGTGGTAAGACAAGGGGTGGGCACGTCTTTGGTCCTCCTGCCATGTTGACACTTTTTTTGAAGGGTGGGGGAGAAAGAGTGCCCTTGTTGGAAGGATGGATTGCTTCTTGAGACAGGTGGGTTAGATCGAAAGAGAGTCTGCATGCTTCCGTAGAGCAGGAGGGGTGGCAGATGGGGGCTTCCAAGTCCAGGATACATGCATATACCCCACAGGTCGGCACCAGGGGGCACTGCCAGGAGGGTGGGGAAGGAGATCCATGGGGAGTCCAGTCCTGGCCCATCAGTGCTTGCCCCATGCAGGGGAAGTTACCGCAAAGAATCGGGAATCGAACATAGTCTGGGATTAGGGGCAGTTGGGTGCGCCTGCCCACCCTGCTGGAGTTGAAGGGTGCGTGTTGGGCAGGGGAGGCCCAGCCAGGCACGGCCGGGGGCGTCACGGGCACCGGGCTGAAGCTGCCTCAGATGAGGCGGGTGCGGAATGACCAAGGAGGCCCGACCAGCATGGCAGAGGCAGTGAAGCATCTCACTTGGGGCTTCCATGGGGGCGGTGGGCCGAGGGGCAGCTGACAAACCCTTGGGCTTGGCGGTGACAAGCGGGGGTTGCCCCAGGGGCACGACTGAGTGGGTGCTGGAGCTGGGCAGCTGCGGCAGGCCCAGCCGGTGTTGGCAATGGAGCATCTCCACATGGGGATCCAGGAGGGCGGGAGGGGTGCTCAGTTTTGGGCCTTGCTCCAGGCCAGGGGCCACCCCTTGGAGGTGCCCTGAGGGGCCGGCCGCATGTTGGCTGGGGGGAGGCGGGTCCACAGGAAGATTCTGCCCATGAGGGGCCCCATGTTGGGCGGACGGGGCCGGGCGGTGGATGCTGGGGGAAGGATCTCCGGGAAGATCCGGACGAAGGGCTGGCGTGGCTCGCTGCGCCACCAAAGCGGGGTCCCCCGGGAGGGCTTGCTGTAGCGTCGGCGCAGCCAGGAGGGTGCTAGTCAGTGGATCAGCCCCCAGCACCTGCCGATGGGTACGCTGGTGCGCCCGCAGCGCTGACTCCCCCTTGAAGCGCTTGGGGCAGGAGGAGCAGGCATGGGGCCGCTGCTGCGAGTGCGTGCGCTGGTGGGCCGCCAGGTTGCCCTTCTGGCTGAAGCGCCGCCCACAGGTAGCACAGGGGAAGGGCCGCTCCCCCGAGTGGATGCGCCGGTGGGTGATGAGGTTGGCCCGCTGGTTGAAGCGCTTCCCACACTCGGTGCAGGAGAAGGGCTTCTCACCGGTGTGGATGCGCTGGTGAGTGATGAGGTTGGGCCGCTGGCTGAAGCTCTTCCCGCAGACACTGCAGGGAAAGGGCTTCTCCGTCGAGCGGCTGCCCCGTGGCAACAGCACCTTGGGCTCAGGGGCAACTAGCCCCTCCTGCACGGCGTGGGTGCGCTGGTGGGCTGCCAGGTTGGCCTTCTGGCTGAAGCGCTTGCCGCAGCGCAGGCAGGGAAAGGGCCGCTCGCCGGTGTGGACCCGCTGGTGGGTCAGCAGGTTGGGGCGTTGGCGGAAGCGCTTGCCGCACTCCAGGCATGGGTAGGGCTTCTCGCCGGTGTGGATGCGCCCATGCGTGATCAGCCCTTGCTTCTGCCGGAAGCACTTGCCGCACACCACGCATGTGAAGGGGCCCGAGCCCAGGCCTTGGGAGGGGCGTCCAGGGCCACTCAGGCTGGGCTTGCAGGAGGCCGCTTCCTCCTTCTTGACCCGGGGCTGGGGTCTCAGCTGCCCAGGGTTGGGGGCCAGGAAGAGACCCGCCCGGGAACTTTCGGGGAAGAGCTGGTAGCGTTCCAAGCTGGCCACGAAACTGGCCCTCTTCTGGCCGCCCTCTTCTTCCTTGATGGCTTTGCTCCGTCCGGCAGCTGTTCCAGAGAGGACAAAAAAAGGGAGGGGGACGGGACAAAACAGAAATTAAATAATGCAGGGGTTGCTGATTCCCGACACACTACCGGGCCACGGTCTATTGAGAATCGGGACACGAGTGCATATATGGGCACAGAGCTCACACGTGCATCTTCCCTCGTGTGAACGATGGGCTCGTGTGCGCTGGCATGCCTGTCACTCAGACAGAATATCCTCTTCCCCCCCCTGCACTGGGCCGTCAAGCCAAAAATTGTGTTTGACATTCTGTTTTTATTTTCTGCGACTTCGACTTTCCCGTCCACTCGTTTCCACCTCGGGAGACACAATGCTCCTCTCTGTTTCTCGGCCGAGGAAGCCAACGTCGTCCAAAGACGCTCCCGTTGGGTCCCATGGCTGGTATGGCTATATGCTAAAGGTGAATGGAACGCTGTTACCTTCCCATCAAACTGGTACCTATTAATCTGCTTGCGCTTTCATGCTTTCGAACTGCTAAGCGGGATCTGGAGCGGGTAACAGAAACTTGCCCCATCAGAGCAGCTCAGGTCTCAAAATGTCCCGTTTTAGCTCAGCGTCTCTAAATGCTCGGCCATCATCCCTGAATCCATCTTTCTCTGGATATGATCCCGTAGTATGGTCTTAGTACAGGTCAAGTCCTCGACTTTAGGGACCGTTCAAAGTTACAACGGCAACGGACAAAATGACTTATGACCGTTTTTTCCACCCTTCCAAAGTAGACTGGGGCAAAATTGAACTTGTCTTCTTTTACACGTGAATTTTTTGGTTCAATTGCAGTTGTTACGTCGAGGATGCCCCTGTATTGTTATTTATCCTTTTTATTATCTTATTAGTTTCCCACTTATTATATTCTTTTCTCTGTTGCTTTGCATGCACACGGATTTGCCTGTGTACGGGAGACAAATTCCTGGATTTGCTCCACCCTAAAACCAGGCGCTCCCCAGCCTTCCATACCTTGGCAGGCACCAGTGCAGAGTTTGCCTTCCTCCAACTTCTGACTGTCAGTGACCCCGAGTTCCTCCCACCGTTCAATCCAAGACAGGCTCTCGGGTTTGAAGAAACGGTAACCTGCCGGGCGGGGGGGGGGGGGGGGAGGGGGGGAGAGGAGGAGAGAAAGAAATCACAAAGCAACAGGTGAGCCCATAAATTTTTCCTGGAATTTTCTGGAAGGAAGGGATGTGCTTTGAGGCAGCTCATCTCCTGGGTACCACCAAGCCCATAGGGCAGCCCTGATTTGGGCTGAGAGTGGGGGACTGGCCCAAAGTCCCTCAGCGGGTTTTTGTGCTGAAGGTGGAACTAGAACTCCCATTCTCCTGGTGATTGGATCCAAGTCAACCAGTTGTCTTTCCTAGCTAAGGCGGGACTAGAACTCCCCATCTCCTGGTTATTGGCTCAAAGTTAACCAGACATCTTTCCTAAGTAAGGGACTAGAACTTGTCTCCTAGTGATTGGCCCAAAATCACCAAGTCATCTTTCCTGCCTAAGGTGGGACTAGAACTCCCACTTTTCTGGTGATTGACTCAAAGTCAACCAGTCGTCTATCCTAAGATGGGACTAGAATTCTCCTGGTGATTGGCCCAGTCACCCAGCTGTCTTTCATGACTAAGGCAGGACTAGAACTCCCAGTTGTCCTAGTTTCTAAGCCAGCACCTTCACCCCTACACCAAGCTAGCACAACAATCAAGCTAGTCTTGAATTCAACTCAATCGAAAGACGGGCACTGGCTTTTGGGAGCCGAATTATAGTATTTATAGTACTTCGAATTCTAATTGTACCCAGTTTCCCAAAATATAAGGCCCAACTAGAAAATAAGCCCTAGCATGAATTTTTGGGGATGCTTGTAATATAAGCCCTACCCCAAAAATAAGCCCCAGTTAAGATTGTCAACCCCACTGACGCATTTGGAATCTTATTTTCCTGAAATTAAGACCTAACCAGAAAATAAGCACTAATGGGTCTTTTGGAGTAAAAATTAATATAAGACCTGGTCTTATTTTCGGGGGAAACATGGTAGGATTTCCCCTCCCAGTGAACTGAGATGAGGAAATAATCTCCCAAAGTGGCCACAAAGGTTCTTCTTGGCCAAGGAAGGCTATCCCACTCCAACTGCCAAAACGTTGTGTCACTTGACACCCCTGAAGGGCCACAGTGTGTCACACGCCAGCAACCCGGCTCAACGCACAGAGTCAGGAAACAAAACCTTGAGGAAATGAAACATAATTGCGCTCTCCAAACCCTGGCCAGCATGGATGTGTCTCTGTGTGTATGTGTGTGTGTGTGTGTGCGGGATCAGCCCTGCGGATGTTACCTGGACATGGATTGGTGGGAATCCCGCGAGTGGAATCCAGCTGGTCGCCCACGCACGGCTCTCCAACCCGCTCAATCCGAGACAGAAGATCTGGTTTGAGAACAGGATAGCCTGGAAAAGATTTGACAGGTCACAGCCGGGGCAAGACAAACCAGCCACTGGTGGGTTTCCATATTTTTTCCTACTGGTACATCAGAACCGGTCTGAACCGGCTGAATCCCACCTCTGGAACCAGCCCCTTCTCTCTGGCAGCTGGTCAAAGGGAGACCCCTCTTCCCTGGGTCTCAAGAGGGAGGGGGTCGTTATCCAGCTGCCCCACCCAAGGAGGATGATTGTGGGGTCGTTGTTGCTCGCTGAGCCTGGTGGTTTTCTTGCCAGACCTTTCATGACCAAACTAGGTAACATCATCAGTGAATGAAAGGAAGAGGAGGACGACGATGACTCTGGGATCCTTGGTGCTCTCTGAACTTGTTTTTTCTGTTCAGATGATTGATTACCAAACTAGATAACAGCTTCAGGGCAAGAAAGGAAAGGGGTTTGTGGAGGTACGGAGAAGAGGATGAGGAAGAGGGGAGGAAGAGGAGGACAGAGTATGGGACCCTTGGTGCTCTCTGAGCTGGGTGGTTTCCTGGCAGGTGTTTCATTACCAAACTAGGTAACATTATCAGTGCATGAGAGGAAGGAGAGGAAGGAGAGGAGGAAGAAGAAGAGGAGGAAGAGGAGGAGGACTGTGGGGTTCTTGGTGTTCTCTGAGCTTGGAGGTTTCCTGGCAGATGTTTCATTACCAAACTAGGTAACATTATCAGTACAAGGGAGTGGGGTTTGTGGAGGAGGAGGAGGAAGAGAAGGAAGGATGGTGGGTTCCTTGGTGCTATCAGAGCTTGGTTTTCTTGCAAACGAGTTATTACCAAACTAGATAACAGCTTCAGGGCAAGAAAGGAGTGTGGTTTGCGGAGAGGAGGAGGAGAAGGACAGTTGGGTCCCTGGTGCTCCCTGAGCTTGGTGGCTTCCTTGAAGACATTTTCATGACCCAACTAGGGAACACAATGAAGACAAGAAAGGAGTGTGGTTTGTGGAGGAGGAGGAGGAGGAAAAGGAGGAAGGACCATTGCGTCCCTGGTGCTCTGAGTTTTGAGGCTTCCTTGAAGACGTTTCAGGACCCAACTAGAGAACATCATCAGTGTTAGAAAGGAGAGGGATTTGCGAGGAGGAGGAGGAAGTTGAGGAGGGGGAGGTGGGAGGAGGAGGACGACGACTGTTGGATCCCTGGTGCTCTGAGCTTTGTGGCTTCCTTGAAGATATTTCATGAGCCAACTAGGGAACTTTATCATCAGGTGGGGTGTTCTTCTTACGTTCCTTCCCAGCAGCCTCTTGTCCCTACAGCCCCCTCCCCAGGAAACCCCTCATGCAGACACACACATACACAGTCCCAGCACGGCTCTTACCAAGGGAGGTCACCAGCTCGTAGTTCTCCATCACAACATCCAGAGATGATGGAAGTTTTCTGAGCTCCTTGGGGAGGAAGGACGATGACGATGACCAGCTCAAGCGTCACCTGCTGGGGGGGGGGGGGAAGGCACACACACCTACATCCCTCTGCTCAAAACAACCTGGAGCTCAGAACTACAAAGCCCATCTTGGGAGGCCCGGAATGCAGAGTTGGAAGGGACCTTGGAGGTGGTCTAGTCCAACCCCCTGTTCAAGGAGACCCTATCAATCAATCCATCCATCCACCTGCAAGAGATGCTCATGAGGGGCGTTCCCAGTTGGAGAATTTGATGCCTAACAACTCTTTAATCTCCTTTGACGGTTGGTCCTTTCCTCACTACCGTTTGTTTAGGGACGGTTCACTGTTACGACAGGACTGAAGAAAGCGACCGAGGAGGGTTTTTCACACACCGTTGCAGTATCTCCATGATCAAAATTCAGGCATTCAGCATCGGGTTCCTTACAATGGGAGTGGGGTGGGGTGGGAGGGCACATGATTTCCTTTTGCAACCGTCTGACGAGCAACGTCAGGAGGAAGACTGGGTTCCCTTCACAACTGTGGGACTTGCTTAATGACCGGGGCCAGAAAGGTCATTGCACGGGGGCAAAACTCACTCAATCAGGGTCTCGCTGAACGACATGTTATGTTCCGTTGGGGTCGTTAAGTCAAGGACTATCTGTATCAGGGTTGTTATCCAGACCCTTACTCACCTAAGAACTGCAGGGTTTGCTTAATGACCGTGGCAAGAAACCTCATCCAATGGGGCAAAACTCACTTCACCGAGGTCTCGCTTAATGACAGAAATGGGGGGCTCTGTTGTGGTAAGTCGAGGATTGCCTGTATACTGCTGGTATTCTGGCTGGGAGAAAGACTGACAATGGATGGATGGAGAGGCAAGCAGGCAGGCAGGCAGATAGGTAGATAATACAGATGATTTATAGATAGATGATACATTAGATAGTTGATAGTTACATAGACGATTCATTAGATAGATGTGTATATATAAATTGATAATTAGATTAGATAGATGATAGTTAGATACAGAATAGACATTAGATGAATGACAGATATTTAGATGAAAGATATATACATACATATATATATACATACATACATACATACATACATATATGTTTTCTGAGGTTCTCGTGGGTATTTGTATGTGGATCTTTGGTTGTTCGGGTTTTCTCTCGCGTAAGATTCAAAGTATCTAGGCAACGTTTCGATGAAGTCTCATTCATCATCTTCAGGCTTCTGTCTTCGGCTCTGTGCTTCTCAGAGTGATGTGAGATTGCAGCTGCTTCTTCCTTTTAACTGCTAGTGGGGGTGGGACTTGATTGGGTGGGGGCTTGGCTGTGTTCTGATTGGGTGGGGGTGTGTTCTCATTGGTAGGGGGTTTGGCTGTGTTCTGATTGGTTGGGGGGGTTGGCCCCCAAATCCCCCAGCAACTAAGACTAACCCGAGCACAACCAAGCCCCCACCTTGGCGGCCAACCCCCCCAACCAATCAGAACACAGCCAAACCCCCTACCAATGAAAGCCCTGCCCCACCCAATCAGAACACAGCCAAGCCCCCACCCAATCAAGTCCCACCCCCACTGGCAGTTAAAAGGAGGAAGCAGCTGCAATCTCACATCACTCTGAGAAGCACAGAGCCGAAGACAGAAGCCTGAAGATGATGAATGAGACTTCATCGAAACGTTGCCTAGATACTTCGAATCTTACGCGGGAGAAAACCCGAACAACCAAAGATCCACATATATATATATATATAAATTATATACTATAAATTATATACTATATACCAGGGGTCGCCAACCTTTTGGACCTCAGGGACCACCAAACTCATTTTAGATCCCAGGGACCACTAACTGGTTCTGTGGGTGTGGCCTAATTTGTGGGTGTGGCTTGGTGGTCATGTGACTGGCTGGGCATGGCTTGTATGTAAATATTATATTTATATAAATATTGAATTTTTTATAAAAAAAACTTTTACCCAAAATCAGGCAAAGCAGGCAGATTGAGTTGCTCACAGAATCATTCTGTGATCTATCTGCCATTGGCTAGCTCAGTCTCTCAAATTTGCTTGCCGTGAGTCTGCACTGAATTTGCTTGCAAGCTAACCTTCAGTCCTAAGGTTCGGCTGTACTTAAAAGCAGAGCTGAAAATCTAAAGACTAGCTAGAAAGCAAGAAATCCAACCATTTCCTGCTTCCTAGCTAATCTAAATCTCCCAGTACAGCAGAACAGCTGATGGTCGGAAAAATAGCAATTTAGCAGGCAAGTTTACCAGGTAAAGAATGGGCAGGGAGGGTTCCTGTGGGCCATGTGGGCAGCGCAGCCTTGTTTCTGTGCAGCCTGCATTAATTGCTTTGGGGGGGCGCTCTGGGGGTAAGATTTCTCTGCGGCCCACCAAAATTTTCTCACGGCCCACTGGTTGGCGACCACTGCTATATACTATATACATATATAGTATTAAAAAGCTTATGACCACAATCTTATGTTGCTAAGTGAGACGTTTGTGAAGTCATTTGGTTACTGCCCCATTCATGTTCTCGCCATGGTTATTAAATGAATGCAGCTTCCCCATTGAATTTGCTGATCAGGTCACAAAAGGTGATTGCGTGAGCCCCCCCAGGATGTTGCGTTGTAAATGTGAGTCAGTTTTCAAGTGTCTGACCACTAGGGATGCTGCAACAATCGTTAAGTGTGTGTGTGTGGGGAAAAGAAGTCACTTCTTCCAGCGGCATCGTAACACCGGTCACTCAGAGAACTGTCGTAAGGCGAGGACTAGCTGAATTAAGACACACACACACACACGTGTGCGCATGTATGTATATATATGTATATGTATATATGTATGTGTGTGTGTGTGTGTATATATGTGTGTGTGTGTGTGTATGTATATATATGTGCGTGTGTGTATGTATGTATGTATCTGTATGTATATATATATATATATATATATATATATATATATATATTTGTTTTCTGAGGTTCTTGCGGGTATTTGTATGTGGATCTTTGGTTGTTCGGGTTTTCTCCCGCGTAAGATTCGAAGTATCTAGGCAACGTTTCGATGAAGTCTCATTCATCATCTTCAGGCTTCTGTCTCCGGCTCTGTGCTTCTCAGAGTAATGGAGATTGCAGCTGCTTCCTCCTTTTAACTGCCAGTGGGGGTGGGACTTGATTGGGTGGGGGCTTGGCTGTGTTCTGATTGGGTGGGGGTGTGTTCTCATTGGTAGGGGGTTTGGCTGTGTTCTGATTGGTTGGGGGGTTAGCCGTGTTCTGATTGGTTGGAGGCGTGTTCTGTTCAGGTGGGGGCTTGGTTGTGCTCAGGTTAGTCTTAGTTGCTGGGGGATTTGAGCTGGTGAGTTGTGATCTTGCTGTTTGGCTTCGAGTTCGTGGTCGTGCTGCATCTTCATAGTGGGTGTCGGTTTGCTTCATGTATGGCTCGGAGGGGTTTGAAATGGGTAGTGATGCAGCTGCAGTGCAGCTTTTGGTCCATGGTCGTGTCTCATTTTCTGAGTGGGTGGGAGTCTGTTTTCTATATGGAAGTGTGGTGGTGGCATCTTGTGTGGCTCTCATGGGTGTGGGTCTGGTGTCCTTCTTCATGTTAGGTACTCGTCTGTTCATGAGGGCGGGTTTCCAAATGGCTGGAAGGCGGGAGGTGTCATCTCGTTTGTTCATGCTGTGTGGGCGTTTTTCTATCTCTATGGCTTCTCTGATTATTCTGCTGTTGAAGTGTTCGGTTTTGGCGATAGTTCTGGTATTTTTAAAATCAATTTCATGTCCTGTGGCTTTGAGGTGTTGGACCAGGGAAGAGGTCGTTTCTTCTTTTTTGATTGAGTTCTTATGTTCTTCAATGCGTGCACTTATTCTTCTGTTAGTTTGTCCAATGTATGTGGTAGGGCAGGCAGTGCAGGGGATTTCGTATACTCCTTGGTTTTCTAATTCGGTTTTGTCTTTGGGGTTTCTTAGGATGGTGGATATTTTTCTGTTTGTGCAGAATGCTGTTTTGATGTTGTGTTTTTGGAGGATCTTGCTAATTTTGTCTGTAGTGCCTTTTATATATGGGAGGAGGGCTTTGCCGTTTTCTTGTTCTCTGTCTTGGATTTTGGTTGGGGTTTCTTTTTGGATTAGGTGGGTAATCTTCTTTCTTTGGAATCCATTGGCTGTAAGTACGTTGGTGAGTGTGTAGTTCGGTTTTTTGGTGTTGTTCATCGGCTAAGCATTTTGTTCTGGAGATGAGTGTCCTGGCTACGGAATTGATCTGTGCTGGGTGGTGGTGTGAGAGTGCATGTAGATAGCGGTTAGTATGTGTTTTCTTCTGGTAGATGGTGTGTCCTAGGGAGCCATTGGATCTTTTGTATACCAAGACATCTAGGAAGGGAAGTTGATTGTTGGCTTCTGTTTCCATGGTGAATACCTGTCATCGCAAACCTCTACATGGAACACTTTGAAACACAAGCTCTAGAAAAATACGACCACAAACCCAAACTCTGGCTCAGATACGTAGATGACACCTTCATAATCTGGCCACACGGGAAAGAAAAACTGAACAACTTCCTCACATACCTCAACAGCCTACACCCCAAAATACAATTCACCATGGAAACAGAAGCCAACAATCAACTTCCCTTCCTAGATGTCTTGGTATACAAAAGATCCAATGGCTC